TTGAGTGATTGTGGGAGCGACAGAGTACAGCACCAGGGCTGCGGTAGAAACAACCGTAAAACAACAGAACTAATGAAAATGAAGCACAAAAAGAAGATTCCAAAAAAAGGCGATATCTACTCACTTGAAAGCCCAATGGTCGCCCATAGAAACACGTTGCATCCAGCTGTTCTAGTGCTCGCAACATTTCATAGTATTTCTCGTAGTTCCCGTCCAGCGGTGGAAATAATGACCGAGACGGCATGGACGCTTGATTTTCTATGCACTAAAATACAAATTCACAATTTGAGAGCTCCAGATTATCACTACTGCAGATCTTTCATTTATTACCATAGGTCGTGATAAAGCTACACATATATGAAAAATTAGATAGACCCCCACCCATGCTGCCCTGAAGACTATAACTCGACAAATCTCACCAAACCTTATTTCTTTTGCGGGCTAGTCGTACTTGTCGGAGAGGATAAAAGAGCAGATTTTACAATGATCTGTATCGTACATGTCACTGTTCAAGCAAAACGTATAGCAATGAACATCTGTGACTGATGAAGGTTGAAAACATGGCTCTTACGAGAGATTGAGCAAAAATCACTGAACAAATAACCACATATTGATCAAATGCTAAATATTGCAACAAATTGATTTTACACTTCATGATCGAAAACCGCAAGAGATATTGTTGACTGGAATTTCGCAAAATGGAAATTCGTAAAAATGATAAATGACAAAACATTTAGCGAAGATAAACCCCTTCTGAGCTGCGTCGCGCATTCTACTTTCACGAAAAATCCTAGTAGCATTTGAATGATTTGTTTTCTCCTACACAAAATGCAGGCGAAGTACCCGTGCGTTGTTCCAACTTCAGGAATTTCACAAAATTTCTCAAACCGATTGAGTTCGATTTCGAGTGAGTCTCGATACAAAACCCAGCTACATGAGCCTTGGTGGAGTCCCCCATAAAAGCCCCCTGACACCCCTGATCACCACCGCCACACCATGGCTGTTTCATTCGTACGTTATTGAATCCAGTCCAACCCCTTCCTAATTCCATTCCACACCTGCCGCTGAGAGAGGGAGGGAGGGAGTGGAGCGCGGAGCAGGGGACGTCAAATATGTCGCAAACGGCAAGCCCACAAAGTCGCTCAATTCAGTTCAGTTTTCCTTGAGAAGATTTTGCCAAAATCGCCAGAAACCGTCAAAATTATCCCCCTCCCATAGAAATAGCCCCTCAACTTCAATATGACCCCCCCTCTGATGAATTGCGCAAAGGACGGTTGACCTTGCTTGCGGTGGCCAGCCGATGCATCTAATTACAAACCAACGTTTTTATCTTCCCAGACAAGTTTGGCAACCGACTCCACGAAAGAAGAAAGCTTAGATGGTCAAGAGGAAATTCGATCAAGGTGAGGTAAGTGGTTGTGCTTGACTTGCCACTACCTCCGCAATACAAAGTGTGACCATATGAAGACTTACCACTGGTAAAGAGTCGATAAGGAAATGAACAACTTTTGTGAAGGCTTCCAGCTCTTTGCAGTAATGTGCTAGGCGAAAAACAAATGATCCACGCTGCTCGCTGACGCTCTTCTGAAGCGAGATGAGATGCAGCACTGTGGTGTCGCAGATGCATACTAATGACCTGAATAAATAGAAAATCAGAACAGATCAAACAAAGATGCGAAAAATTAGTGAAAATCGCGAAAAGAGATTTGTGGGAAAAAATAAGTGATTAAGAAGAGCAAATTTCACGAGTTTAGACCTCTACGGCAATATTTGAGGCCTCCTTTTACTAACATTGCCTCAGCAATTCTTTAAGCGAGATCCTGCGAACAAAAATTCAGACAAGAGGTACAGCGAAGGTAGCCGAGGGCAACGAAAGCGGTTTATAGTACCCTCGATGTATACATTTTCTTACATAAACCTGCCTGATTTCCAACCTTTGCAAAAACAGATGGGTCCACCCGGCTAATGAAGCCTATCCCACGTTTGATCCTTTCATTACCACTGCCAATAGGGAACTGCTTTCTAAAAAGCAGAAATTTTGCAGCACTGCCCCTAGATGCTAAGGGCAGACCTCATATTGCTGTAACACTGAAACTTTCAAAAATTCCAAGAATTCATTTCAAAGAGTTGGAAACTTCAGTTTCATAGAATTCGACAATGCTGGAGACACCAGGTCATTTCCATCATAGATGAGACAAAAAAATTGTAATGGAAATACCATGGGCCAATGCTAGACTGCGAATCGAGCGATGCACTACTAGCGATTCGCTAGCGTCCGCGGCCGCGTCGCGACCAGTGAATCCCTCGACTCGCCAAGTCTGACATCGGCCATACTCCATGAACATACCTAAACCCGTTTCCTGGTGTGTTCTCATCGTAGTCATAGCTAGGAGCGATGTCTTGTAATTGCGTCACTAGACCTGAAATCCAAATTCTGAACCAGCCAGTGATGTGAGAGATCAAGAAAGGAAGCGAAGAATGCGAATTTTTATAGAGACTTTGTTTCGGTTTTCGGTTTTTTCTCGAAGAAAGTGTTGCAAAAAATTGGATCTTCACAAGAGAAGTTCCATTCTAGAGGTGGGGGAGAGGGGGAGGGGGGAGAATCGTATTTGGGCTCTATTTTTAAGGGATCCGGGAAATTTTGAAAAATTTCGCCATTTCAACAGTATTATATGCCTCCGTCTCCAACAAACTTTTGGAGGTTTGTGGGCGGTGTTTCAAGTGTACAAAGATGAGAGAGGTTTAACGACACTATGAGTACTATCCACCATTAGAAAAGTGAGGTCGTGCTGGCGATGCCTTCAAGAGGGGACAGAATCACCCCGAAATCCAACTTTCAATCACGTTTTGCCGAGAAGACGGTGGACCTGGCTTCCCTCCACGTTCGAAAAGGAGCTTTTCTGCAGAACATTTCCAAAGAATTCTATTGGAGACAATGCCTTTAAAAAGAATTAGGTACTGCCATAAAAAGTTACCGTACTTCGCAGTTTTCCCGCACACTCTTTAATATCCGTCGAGACGTTGACCATACGCTCACTATAGCCGCTCCATGAATTTGCTTTGGAGAAGTAGTCGGCATTGTCACTGCACAACTGAAACTTAATTGTTTTGGGTCTACAACAGCATTCCGCGCTTGCCTTTGTGTCCATCTTCTTTTACCATTTAAATCTAATTGGTTGTAAAAAAATCTTGTAATGATAAAAAATGTAATAAGCACCCCGCCTCCTTTGACTGATGCGCCACGCCTCTGACTTCCCCTTAATCGTGGAGGTATTTGCTCTGAGCAATAAAAAAATTGCTATTGTTAGCTTACGTGCAGGTGAGGGTTTTATCCTACTTGACTGCTCTGACTCCAATCGATCGACCCAGATAAAAAGAGATTTTATGGTCCGCACACAATTCAACCCCCGAATTTAATCTCGGATCACACGCGCTATAAGCGATACTACTTCGCACTAGACCACTTTCACTGAAAGGATCTTCTGGTATTAAGTAAATATCATATCAAAAAACGGAAAAAATGTGTTGATTTCTCCAAAATGAGGACAGGAGGCTTTTAAATTAGCTTTTAGAAATAACTTTTTCAGTCAACAACCTTTGCGACTGCACGGGACTAACGTTAGGGAAAGGAAAAAGAAGAAGAGGTAGCTATTTAGTGGACCTCCTTCTACTTTTGACAATTTCAGCGAAAGACACATTCCCAGCCTTTGGCCCTTAAATCTTCATTGAAGCATTGAAGCATCGCCTACTCTGCATATTCAATCAAGAAGAGCATTATGCGTCTCACGAAACCAATGAAGCACGATGCCTCTTAATTTACTTTGCTTCGACATTTATTTCTTTCGGCCACAAAATTGCTAGTGCAGAGATCATCTACGGCGTGAAAGCGTAAGGTTCCAGTATAAAGAGTTTTAACACGTTGGAGACCGCGCATGTTTTACGTTTTGCGGCCGCGTGGGACTTCAGTGAAATTTTTAGGAATCTTATCAAGCAAATTGGAAGAAAAACCTACTGTATGATGCAGAAGAAACCTTATCGAATGAAATGGAAAAGAAAATGAAAGAAAAACTAATATTGTTTCCGAAATGTGAGCTGAAAGGTCCTAAGCGGTTGACAAACTGCAGCCCACATATGGGCTGCGTGGGCTCCAAGGTGTTAAGGAATGTGCATCGGGCTACGCTCGCTGGCTGGTTGGAACTCATGTACGAAAAGCTCTATTAAGTATTTGAAAAAAAAATTCAAAGTTCATATGGGTTTAAGTAGACAGCTCAAAAATCACTTCGATAATTAGAAAAAGTAGAAAAATTGCTAAGTTTCGAGATATCCAAGATGCTTCTCGAAAAAAAAGTTGATCCAGTGTTAGAGTGACAAGGGAAGAGCAGGGCAGTGATAAGTTCCTTAGATTGACACCCTTCAACTTTGTTAGCATCACGCCACCTTCCTTGAAAGCAATCGTGCTGCAAAAGCAAAGGGCAAAGAAGAGAGGGAAAAGAGATCATTGAAAGTCTTCAACACATTTTAACGCCGAAATCATCAATATCTGCCTCTCTCGAATATTTCAAAAGTTCAATATCCTACTCCTCTCATGATCTCATTTTACCTTTTTCTGAATGCAATAACTGAATTTACTGGCCAGAGCTGGTGCAGTGGTAAGTGGTGATAGTTACTACGAGCATGGTCTGCGGATCAAATCCGGGATCGCACTCAGTATGGGCCAACCGAGCCCTTTGTTCTCTCAAAGTTGACTATTTGGGATCAAGTTGTCTACGAAATGAAAGCACCAACTTATACATCGGATAAGCCCGCAAGTCATTTTACAAACCCGAATGGCATTCAACCGGCACAAGGATTCTTGGCAGTGGAATGTGTGGCGCACCTTATAAAGGGATAGCGATGCCGAATTTTTCAGCCCTTTAGCTTGTTTTAACTTTGCAAATGACTCAGATAGGTGTTGGAGATTTTTTAAGTGTGAAACTATCAAGTCATCCTATTCTATTTTCAGAAACCAAGAAACCATAGTGCAACTTTAGTCGTCCTCTTATTTTCACTCTTTTTTATCCAACATGAGTCACCAAAACAGAAGATCATTTGTAATGTTCGGAAGGATCGTGAAAATATAAAAAAAAACTGCAGTCAATCAATACTAGAATGTGGCTCGCTCCGGCACCAGGAATTAATAGTGTTCCGAAGAAACCAAAATGGGACCAAGCCAATGGGAGTGCTGGCCAAGGCTTCACTGCGGAGCAACAGCCGACTGGCGATTAGAATACATTTCAAAAAAAATCAATGAGACTAATAAGTTAGTAAAGTTACTGCTAAACTTATTTATTTATTTATTTATTTATTTATTTATTTAATACACCTGAAAGGGTGTGCACACGATGGACAAACAGAGTTGTAAAGCTGAGCGATCCATGATACAAAAGTAAAAATAAAGAAAGAAGGAGAGAAAATTGGGCTAAAACGTAACAATGAAAATAACCCTGAGATTATGGAATAGTTCAGAAAAAGGAACTGAGATGGCAGCCATTGAGGTCCTACACTGTAGCCGGTAATAAGGCCGCACTCACCATCCGGAAGACCGAAAAGGTCCCTGACGAGATCCTTGTCCCTCGTTCGGACGCTTTCGAGTCGAATAACGTACCGGGGCTTGCAACCAACTTAACCCATGACTAACGAATTAGTCTGGGACCCCAGGCGAACAACGAGGGAGGACTTGGGAGCGTACATCCCAAATGGCAAGAAAGAGAAGAAGGAACGTAAGATGTCCCGTGGCAGAATGAAGAGCAAGAAAATCGCTAACGCTAACCAATACACCTTCTTTCTAAGCAATGAAGGCTAGCCGATCCTTCGGAATCCCATGCAAAAGATTCCGGATGTAAAAAAAAGGTACGCGTCAGAGAGCGAAATGGGCATTTCGCCGCAGCGAGTCCGGCTTAGACCGGTTACGCATGAACCGTATAGTATAACACATCTAATCCAAGCCCGCAATGGTTTTGGTGCAGGTGGGCCTAGTGCGACAATTGAATAATACAAATATGGAGTATCATGTCCCTCAGCAAACTTGAGGGCACCTTCGATGACGAAAATGGGCCTAATCTTACAGTACGTAGGACAGAGCTACCCACATAGGTGAAATATGCATTTTTGCGGGTCGTTCTTGCGGTGGCCAAGAATTCTACGACCTTTTCACTCAGTCGAAACCACTGCAACCCCTGTTTGGGACAGGATCTTCGCGGCGGAGTGCCTGCGTCTCACGATTTCTTAACGTTCTCTCGCCTCTCCCCGTCGCAGTAGATACAGACTACCCGTCGTTGAGTCATAACTAAAAAGCCTTTAATTCCAGTGAAATCGGCACTTTTGCATTTTTATCACTGGCGGTCAGCTTCGCTAATCTAATACCTTATATTCGAGCAAAGTAACAAGTTGGGACATTAGAATGTGCCCTCAAAGATGGATAGCCCTTTCTCAGGACACGATCATGGACCATGGCAGTGATGAATTACAAACATGTGGTTGGACAAAAATACATAAGCACTGTTACTGGATAAACGCGCATAAAATCATACAAAAGGATTCTTTATAAGCATGCAGGTATAAGTAAGAGTTAGAAAAAACGGAAATGTTCCACATCTTACCACGACTCTGTAAGAATTTGACAACATGGCGCCTCCCGAAAGGAGATTGATCGACCAAAAACTTCATGCTATGTATTTATCACATTTTCAAACTTTGATCCAACACACATGTATGTTGGATTTACTAGTCAAGCCAGAGTTAAAGACGGAGTTTGCGATAGAAAGACAGACTATTAGAGATCACGGTAGCGCGGTCAGCGATGTAGATATGAATAAAAGACATGAGAAGCGGCCCACAACCCGAGAGATAGGACCCCTTCTTTGCAAGATGATTTCCGCAGTGATGCAATTCTCATCGGCGCTGCTCTCTTCAACTCCAACGCTTTCTTGTTAAACGGTGAGAGTCAGATGGCGAGGGGTTACCCATCGCTGGTGGGTGCAGAGGCGCGAGTGGTGCGATTACAGCCCTACTAGGCCGATGGGTATACCCCTCCCTGCAAAAAGTCTCGTACCGTCCCAATGCTGGCCCGCCTGTCTGCGACTAGGTATGTTTCCCTTTTTTCGAGCTCTGAACTTATCATGAAATCCTCCTTTGATGATGGGGCGACTAACTTCCTGAAAGAAAAAGAGAGAACAAAGGTCTTACGAGGGTAGATTCCTTTTCGAGTGCTGTTGAACGATACCAGATTCGAAAAAATATTCAAAAAAAAAAGAAACTCCGTCGTCTGTTACCCCCAACCAATCATACTACAGGGATGATCCCCACTTCCCCTCTTATCATACCCTCTTCTCAATGTTCTTCAATGGAACACAAGTCAGTTTGCTCAGTTCACAGCCTTAACTATCAGGACACTTTTTTATACAGAATTTACAGAAATTTAAAAAAAAATGCAAATCTCGAATCAAAATCGAAACGTTCTCGTGGAACCGCAGGTCACAAAAACACTTATCCAGTTTTCGTCCATTGATCTTTATCAGCTAATGAATTACCCAGATCTCGACTACGTCACGACTCTCAAACATGAAAGTTTCAAGTGAAAACCTTCGAAAAGTTCATTTCAAGCCCTTCAGGGAAACTTCTTTGTGGTTGGCTAACATTGAGTTGAACGGTCAACGTTGAACGGAAACCTTCTGTGAAACTATGAAGAACGAAAAATCCAAAATCTCAAAAAAGGTGGAAAGAAAATCAAAAAATTTATTTTACACTATAATGCTGAGTCCTTAAAATTCTTGATGAGTAAAATATGGAACACAGTGGAGAGAAAAAATCTTTCTCACGTTTTCCAACGGGAAATGGGTGCAAAAAAATCCCGAGTACTCTACTATACTTGCTCAGTGAGTTAAGTACTTATCAGATCCATATGATATTATTCTACAGCACACCCTTATAAGCACCCAATCCCAAGAGTAGGAAAGAATCAGCTGACTTCCAAAAAAATTGGAAAATCGAATCTACGATGATAAACCCTGAGTCCGGGCGTTTTTCTGATCATCCCGTGCGTAGCATGCAATGTAGGATCTGTACCAATACCTGGACTAAGCCCAGCATTAGCGTGCGCTCCAAAATTGCC